TTTCGGGAGTTGACTTTTGTTGACTTTTTCATTTCCCGAGAGTTGACTTTTTCTAATTTTGGCTCATTTTGCTCATTTTTGCTCATTTTTGCAGAATTTCTAAAATGACATCGCATATTCCTCAAGGTGGAGGTCCTCCAGGCGCCGGAGATGATCCGGATATTATGGCTCTGCCTCTGAGGGTTCGACCATTTATCCCTGAGAAGTACGATCCTCCGACACATGTCTTCCCTCAGACAGTTTTCTATCATTTCACTGGTTTCGATGATCGAGCACCGGTGGATCTTTTATTGCGGGAGCCGGAGTCCCACCTCTCCCATCAGGCACAGGAGGTATGTACTTCACTTTTACACTTTCTGCCATGTGTAATGTAGTCTGCATTCTCCGTGCATTCCACGCTTTTGCTATGCTTATCTGCTCATTCTAGCACATAGCTTGTTCTGAACACTTTAGCCTATGACACAGCAGTCTGTTTTGCATTTTGAACACACGGCTTAATCACTTGAATTTCTGAACACACAGCCCATAAATTGATTGTGAACGCACAACACACACTTATTGAGAGTAGAACACGCAGCCCAATGCTTTTGAAATCTAAACCCACAGCCCAAGTACTTGATGTTGAACACACGGCTTAAATTTTGAGGTGAACACACAGCCCACTGATCTTGAAATCTGAACACACAGCCCAAATACTTTACATTTGAACACACGGCCCAAACTTTGAGGTGAACACACAGCCCACTGATCTTGAAATCTGAACACATAGCCCATATACTTGGTGTTGAATGGAGGCATGACAATATCAATGAAACGTGCACTATAATGCAAGTGGTGTGCATGAGAGTGCGAGTGACGTGCATAACAATGCAGGATAAGTGCAAACTCGAATGCATATTTGACACCAAACAACGAGCAAAGAAATGCGAGTTTCGATGGGGGCGACTCAATCGCGGCCTCCGGTTTACCTCCCGGAAGGGTCACAACATATTCACAAAGGATACGCCTCGCTCTTGACGAGTAACGATAAGACACGCATCGAAAGTTGGAGTTGAAGTTCCCGCGGAGGGATTTCGCGACGAAAATTGCACTTTTCTTGTACTTTCTCGGGTCCCGGAGACTCCAATCATCACCAAAATTTGCAGAGACCTTGGAGGCCACCTTGGGAACACCACCGACCAGGTTTTTGAAAAGGTGGTGATCGGCCTGCCACAAAAGGTGGTCGACCGACCCCCTAACCCAAATTCGGGGGCAGTTTGGTCTTTTACTCTTGTTTCTTTAAATGTGCTTATCCAAAGCACTTTTCCTCACAACTCCAGCTCCGAAATTGTCTCATCTACCTTCCTAGAGCATTTCCCCTCTCCGATCTGCGCTCCATACGCATTTTCCAACGCCCCATGCAAAGTTGCTTCGGACTCCTGAGCCTGAGGAATGCTAATGTTCCGAGCTGCTTCTATTAATGCCGAGAAGGTGGGTAGCTTGTGGTTAACTAGAAACATTTTGTACCTGAGCCTGAGGGATGCTAATGTTCCGAGCTGCTTCTAGACAAATTTGAACCAGATAACTCTCCTCAACTGCTTCATGACAATCCACGGCCTTGTCCTGAAACCTTTTGACGTAGTCAAGGATGTCTTCACTTTCTTGTTGCTTCTCTTTACACAATGTAAGTGTGGTCACCTTCTCCGCCACTTGAAAGAACTTAGAGTGGAATTTGTTAACCATTTCCTCTCAACTTCGGACAGAGTTTGGGGCCAAATTAACATACCAACTATATGCTCGGTCGATAAGGGACTTAGAGAATTCTCTCAGCCGGAGGACGTGGTTTGAACCATGAATACCCAGAGTCTCGATGAATCGCACAACATGTTCTCGTGCATTTCCTTATTTGCCATCGAACTTGATGAACTTCGGCACTGTATACCCCTCAGGGTATGGATAGCTCAGCATCTCAATGGGGTAAGGCGGCTTGACATCCAGATCAGGCAAAGAGGGTAAAGTCCTCTTGCCTCGTTCGAGATCGAACATGGCTTGCACATCGGCCGAGAGCGAGAAACTGTTGAGGGAGAGAGTTTGATGGTGGTATTCCCGGGACTTGGCTTGTGGACCCGAAGACTGAACTAGGGGCGACTTGGCCATTCTGGCGCTGCGAATTCATCATTGGTGAGGACATTTGACGATACTGGCCATCAGCGCCTATAGACAAGCCAGTTGGTGATGGGATATTAAATTGAGGCCCATAGAGTCCACCGTACGGCGCCGCTATACCGGGTTGTGCTTGCAGATTTGTTGTCGACACCAAAGGAGGCCCGCTTGGTGCTTGGGTAACATTTACTGGTGGCGCAACAAGATTAGGTACAGGCAGAGCATCCTTTTGTGCCATCATGCTCCTCATGTTTTCCTTTATCGATCTTGCATTGTACTTTATGAGATTAGATTCAGAACTGTGACATCGAGTCTGAACTATGGTAGCATAAAGTCCGAGGACGCATCCACACTTCCCTAGTCACCATTGGATCTTGGCTTGGTACGCCATGGAGCCCGAGCGTGGGCAAACTGTTGCCGCCTACTGTGGTTTGAGCATGTGTTACTGTGGCCGTGTTGCCATGCGCCATAGGCTGACTGGGGCCTACTTCTCTTTAGATTTGATTTTGCGCTCCGGCGGGAATAACTCCATCACCAGTTTAATTTCCGTTTGGCACCGGTGCAAAATTAGAACTCATCACCAAAATGGTGTGAGTGAGATTCTAAAGAGTGGTAAGAATCTCCTGCTGAGTATTTTGAAGTCCTTGAATGGCTTCATGCAAAAATGGTTGATCTGGAGCCATGGTCCTGTCATCACCACCATTAGAGGATCCTTGTTGGTGAACTTCATCTTCTCCCGCCATCCTTGTTGGAGTTGTGTGGATTCCAGATCTCGTTGAGACCATTAACCAATCCGCCTCCCCAGTGAAGTCGCCAAATGTATAAGAGAGTTCAAGAACGTCATTGGAAAATTCAAAGATTTTCGAAGATCCTTGAAGAACAATTTCGAATTCTCTAGAAGATGATGAGAGGCTTAGATTCTTCAATAGTCTCAACTCAAGAACACAAGAGTAAAGGAGATGATGGAGAAAAGAGATTGGGTGAAGAAGAATGCAAAATGGCTAGAGAGAGAATAACGGCAAGGCTCTCCCATGGATCTCCCACTTTCACTCTCATGGTTGATAATGGATTTTGGAGAATTAACTCTTGGGAAAGAACTAATTTCCCTTTTCCATTATCAACCTTGAGAGTGAAAGTGGGAGATCCATAGGAGAGCCTTGCCATTATTCTCTCTCTAGCCATTTTGTATTTTTCTTCACCCAATCTCTTATCTCCATCATATCCTTTACTCTTGTGTTCTTGAGTTGGGACTATTGAAGAATCTAAACTTCTCATCATCTTCTAGAGAATTTGAAGTTGTTCTTCAAGGATCTTCGAAGATCTTCGAATTTTCCAACGACGTTCTTGAACCCTCTCATACAAACCTCAAGCATGAATTCAACTTTTAAAGCTTCAAATTCGATCCCCTTGGGCTAATTTTCTGGAAAACTCTTGGAAACTCATAGTATAACATGTCTTTGAAGATTAATTTGTAAAATCAAGCCCAAAGGTAAGTCAATTGAACACAAATTCAAAGGAAACTTGAAGGACGATGCAAAAATCTTACATGCATGAGTTCTCATGAACTCTAGTGCTCTAAAACTTGATCAAATGCAAGATTAAGCTCAAAACTATGGTGAATTCATGGACTATAACATAAACATGAACATGCATGTGGAAATTCATGAAGAACAACCTCAAAATTCAAGAATATGTACATGCATGCATGGATTAAGCCTCAATTCAACACTTTAAACCAATACTTGACTCTAACCTCCCTTAATCCCATGAACCATGCAAGAATAACTCAAATGTACAAATGAGAGGATGAAGTCTCTACCTTAGGTCTTGAATTCAAAGTATATAAGCTTAATTTTGCAAATTTTCCTCAAATCTTCTAAGTCTCCAAGCTAAACTCTTGATGAATACAAAAAGACTTTTATGAATAAGTCACATTCGTAACCAAAACACATTTACATATCAGATATACATACATACAAGTTAGGGATTCAATCCCTATGCCATAACTGTACAGTAGGAGTCTATAACATCTATTACAAAACAGAAACAGAAGGGTGAATCCGAACACCCCAAAACAGCCGTAGCTTGAACGGACTTGGAACCTCGAGGCGAGGTACAAAGGTTGGCTTGACAAAACAAGAGTTAACCAGACGCCTCCTAGCTCCAGTCTGGTGCCTTGGGCACCTACATATATATATATATATATAAACAGTGAACTAAAGCCCAGTGAATAACAATTATGTAAAGAGGTTAAGAATGAATGTCCTTTCAGTAATTAAACAATCATATCAGTCACTTAGAAACTATAGCAGTTATATGTGGTGCATCACATTGCAAAACAGTACAGTAGGTCTTAACAGACCGAACAGTCAGTTGATGGCTATCATAACAGTAACAGTAGTGGTTCCAAACATGGGAACCGACAGAGATATCAGTGACAGTAGCAGTAACAGTAAATTGCTATGGATGTTACGGATACAGTTTACAAGTAGGACAAACATTCATTCATTAAACAATAACGGTTCAGTAAGTAGAACAATTGATCATTCAGAAAATAATCATAATTAAACATATCTTTACAATATTGTTACTCACAGAGCACTGGGCTATAAGCAGCTAGTAGGCGTCCTCGGGTGCCAACCTTATACAGTTACAGAACGAAAACACACTAAGTTACACACTCGGGAATTAACAACATAGTCCCTATCTTGACTCAGTGTGGTTCAACATCAACATCCTCATTAAGATGCCTTAAGCATGGCCTAGGAATGCCTAAGATGGAAAAAGGATGCAAAGATGCACTTTAAAACACTTTTCAAAATTTGCTGAAACAGGGTCCACGCTCGAGCGTGGCTTCTACGCTCAAGCGGACATGCAGACAAAGGAGCTCTGCTCGAGCGTGACTTCTTACGCTCGAGCGGACTGCAAACTTCATGAAAAGTACTGGATGCATACAATTCACGCTCGACGGACGCTCGACCCCTCGCTCGAGCGTGAGACTCATGTCCTCACTCGAGCGTGAACTTTCTCGCTCGAGTGGACTGTAAAACACATGAACTTCTGGGCATATGCATTTCATGCTCGAGCGTAGGTGCATGTACTCAGAGTGCACGCACGAGCGTGAAGTCCTATGCTCGAGCGTGGGTCCAAAATCTGAAATTTCCAAATTGAACCTCAAGCATGAATTCAACTTTTAAAGCTTCAAATTCGATCCCCTTGGGCTAATTTTCTGGAAAAATCTTGGAAACTCATAGTATAATATGTCTTTGAAGATCAATTTGTAAAATCAAGCCCAAAGGTAAGCCAATTGAACACAAATTCAAAGGAAACTTGAAGGACGATGCAAAAATCATACGTGCATGAGTTCTCATGAACTCTAGTGCTCTAAAACTTGATCAAATGCAAGATTAAGCTCAAAACTATGGTGAATTCATGGACTATAACATAAACATGAACATGTGTGTGGAAATTCATGAAGAACAACCTCAAAATTCAAGAATATGTACATGCATGCATGGATTAAACCTCAATTCAACACTTTAAACCAATACTTGATTCTAACCTCCCTTAATCCCATGAACTATGCAAGAATAACTCAAATGTACAAATGAGAGGATGAAGTCTCTACCTTAGGTCTTGAATTCAATGTATATAAGCTTAATTTTGCAAATTTTCCTCAAATCTTCTAAGTCTCCAACTAAACTCTTGACGAACTCAATTTCTTCTACTCTCCCTCTCTCCCTCGGTTTAGTCTAAGAAAGTGGCTGAAAAAAATGATGTATAAAGGTGCCAAACAATGTTGTAGAAAATGGCTACTCAATGGCAATTTGGTAATAACACAATCTAATATAATTTAACATTATTCAATCTAATTTATCATTCCAAATCGGATTTTAATTAAACCTACCATAAAATCACATAAATTCTAATTAGCATAAAACACTAATCTGTTTCTGATTCGGCCACCGATAAGGCCTTCAATTTGCAATTCGAAATTAAAACATAAACAGATTCATTCAGAAATCAAACAGATAGAAATGCATTTAAAGTAATATACTCGTACAATCAATTCAGGATTTCATTATAATCAGTTACTTATCATGCTCAATCACAGATTAGCACTAATAAGAGGTGAGGGTTGTCACAGTCTTCCCTCCTTAAAAAGAGTTTGGTCCTCCAAACTCGGATTACCTTTAATCTAGAAGAACACTGGATCCAGGGGGAACAGTTCAGGATATCTCTTCAACATATCATCTTCTCTTTCCCAAGTGGCATAAGTGCCACTGTGATTTTGCCAATCCACTTTCACTAACGGAATTTCTTTGTTTCTCAATTTCTTAATTCGTCGGTTTACAACCTGAATAGGCCGTTCTTCATAAGTGTAGTCATCACTTAGCACTACACGGGTAAGCTCGATAACATGGAAGGGATCCCGAAGATAATCCCTTAACATTGAAATATGGAAGACATTATGCATATACTCTATTTCAGGAGAAAGTGCTACTTGATACGCCACCGAATTAATCTTCTCAATGATTTCATACGGTCCGACATATCTCGGTGCTAGCTTACCCTTGACTCCAAAACGAGTCTGCCCTTTCATTGGTGTCACTTTAACAAAAACATGATCACCTACTTCATATTCCCTGTCTCACCTTCGGACATTCGCATAACTTTTCTGTCGGCTTTGTGCGGTTTTCAATCTCTGTTGAATTAGTTTCACTTTTTCGGTAGTCTCATGTACAATTTCGGGCCCAAGCAAAGGCCCATCTCCAACTTCTGCCCAGCAAATAGGAGATCGGCATTTTCTGCCATGCAAAGTC